AAAACGTGAAATGACTTTGAACGTCGCCTCTCTAGTTATCTAAGCAGGCATCTGGGCCTATAATTGCATAAAAATGCTTCAAACTCTTGTAGCAAAAATATAGCAACTCCGTACTAGGTGACGGGAAACTGTGGGATCGAAGGCAATGAGGTCGCTAACTACTTCCTTTTTAGAACCGGAAACATTCTGTGGTTACAGTTAGTCCTGGAGCGATGGGGGGCCATAGACAGACCAGCCTCTTCGGCTACCTCTTTAATAGATCGGACAATCGGATCGGATTCAATTGAACAGAAATTACATCAGGCGACCCTCTGTATACCTAACTCGCCAAGCCCAACTACGATTTCATGTTCTGAGATACTTCGCCAGCCTAAACGGAGTTAGATCGCCGAAACAACAGCAGTAATACTCGAGTAATTCCGATACGTAGGTTTCTAACCCCGCGAGTCAAACCCAGGGCCAGAAACCTAAACCTGCTGTGTATGCCAGAGACGACTACACCACAACTCCACCTCAGTCAAGTGCAATGCTTGCCACCTCAGAGTCTTCTCAGGAATACGGACACATCGGCAGTGGACAACATGTTTCGTGGCCCCCTGCTGCTCAAACAGAGCAGCCTCCACGGCTACTCCCAGTCCACCTGAGCAGCTCAACACAGACACCGCAGCACCACTACACAACAACACAATAGACCACACCACAACCGCGACAGACCACATTACAGACACAACCGTACCACCACCCACACGCCGTCGCCAACAACTCCTAGTTCCTCCTACAATCTGCACGGTATGCCATACCAGGATATTCCGTAATGTGACATCAGTCAAGTGCAACACCTGCCTTGGCTGGTGCCACTTTAGGGCATGTTCAGGTCTGCGCACCACGCGATATTGGTCGAGGAACTTCGAGGGCCCGTGGTGCGCTGCCCGGTCGCAAACCCCAACTGCAACGCCACCCACTAATGCCACAGGGCGGCAACCTCCACAGCAGCGCACACAGCCAATAGCGGCAAGGCTACACACATCCCTCACACCCCGCATAACTCCACGTCTCCCGAACCACATGAAACTCCTTGAATTTAACTGTAACGGACTTCAGAGTAAGATCGAGGAGATAACCGGCGCACCAGGATCTTTGGCACTCAAGCCTATCAAACGATCGTAGGGCAACAGACTTGGCTGAGCAGATACACGATTCGACATTCTGCACAATGAACGACGACCCACCCACCAGAATAATGGGCAGCTGCTGCAGCTCGCCAGACATAACAATAGTCAGCGCTGGTCTGATAAAGAGCGTATCATGGCGACTTATGCTGACTTTGGCATCAGACAATCTGCCCAAAGTCATTTCGATCGATAAACCAACCGACTTTGCTTACGCGGAACACCGGACCTATATCAACTTTTCTAAAGCTGATTGGAAAGGCTTCGCGGAATTTACTGAGAGCACCTTCGCTGCGCTCCCCCAGTGGGAAGAGCATCTGAAGGCCTGTAACTTCGCCTCTGTTGTGAGTAAGCTTTGGTAAACGGTGAGGTCACTGTCCAATCCGACGAAGCACGACGACAGGGTCAAAATTTCTTTCAGCGACCATGCTTCGTCGGACCCGGAGCGATGCGCGAGCTACTGCATCGTCCTGTGGACAAAGCCAAGCGTCGAGGGACCAGAAGGCTGCACAAACTGTCAATAACTTGTGCCCCCCTTGCTTCACTAGCGGTGAAGTTTAGGTGGCCATCGGGAAGGCGAAAGCCTCCAAAGGCATGGGTCCCGATGGAATATGCATGCTGATGCTAAAAAAATTGGGTCCTGCGGGAGTAGCGCACCTTACGGAGGTCATCATTATATCTATGTCCACTCTCATCATCCCAGACATGTGGAAGGTGGGGAGAGTGGTCCCACTGCTCAAACCGGCGAAACCAGCCGGTAGCGAAGACACTAGAGGCCTTGCTGCTCCCGTATTTCACAAACCACCTGACTCCAGCGAAGCATCAGCATGGTTTCCGTAAAGTGCACAGTACAACAACAGCACTTAACGCCATAAACACTCAGATAACAGGTGGCCTTAACCGCAACCGTCCCTGTGAGATAACTATTTTAGTAGCGTTGGACCTGTCAAAGGCGTTTGACACCGTCAGCCACTCCACGCTACTAGAAGATATAGAGGCTTCCTCTCTCCCACAGAGGTCGGCGAATTATCTGAGTGGTCGACACTCGTCGGTAATGTTTAGAGACAAATTGAGCAAACTTAGAAAGATTAAACAGGGGGTTCCACAGGGTGGTGTCCTTTCCCCGCTACTGTTCAACTTTAACATTTCAAAGCTCCTTCAACCACCAGAGGGAGTCTCGATTGTCTCCTACGCCGATGATTGCTCGATCATGGCGACTGGCAAAGGAATTGATGACTTGTGTTCGAAAGTAAACGGATTTCGCGCTTCTTCACTACAAGGAGCCTAACCCTCTCCCCTACGAAAACCCCTGTGACCTTGTTCACCACCTGGACGAAGGAGGTCAGGCTACCGCTGGGAATTCACGTCGATGATACACCAATTCCGACGGTGAATAACCCAAAATACTCTGAGTAACCTTATACAGTCTGCTCTTCTTCTCTGCGCACGCAACCGCTATTGTCAACAAAGTACAGAGCCGCAACAAGGTCCTCAAGTCGCTAGCCGGCAGTACTTGGGGCAAAGATAAAGAAACGTTGCTGGCAACGTACAAAGAAATAGGCCGGCCGGTTTAAAATTACGCAGCCCCAGTGTGGTCGTCGGGGACTAGTAGGACCCAGTGGATGAAGTTGCAGACAACTCAGAACACCGCACTAGGGACAGCGACTGGATGCCTTCTGATGTCGCCTGAAGACCATCTACACGACGAGGCGAAATTGCTCCCTGTCAAGGAGCATAACACCATGCTCTGCAGGCAGTTCCTAGCAGCTGCTTGCAGAAGAGCCCTCGCCCAGGCACGTCAGGAGGCATCTCTACGAAATGACGGACGAAGTCCAGAGGTTCATTAAACAACTTCTGGACCTGTCAGCATATCAACAGGCCCTGAACGGCATTCACAGGGAATCAGTCTCGAGTTATGTAGACTCAAGACCTGTGAATGCCGTTCTAGGCGCACAGCCACCGGACATAGACGAGACGGAGCTTCATCTGCCTCGGGAGACAAGAACCACAATAGCCCAACTTCGCTCTGGCTACTGCAGCAGGTTAAACTCGGAGAGACACCTCATGACTCGAAGCATCTCTTCGTATGCCCGGAAAACCCAACAACCCTAATGCCTTTGTCCCTGTGGACCGACCCCATACAGGCTGCACGCTTCTTGGGGCTGCCGTTAGTGGAACTTGACGACAACGACTGAGATATTAACCGATCTGGGCGGGGTTGTTGCAGCCGCTACAACAACAACAACAACACGATTTAATGTGCACCGAAGAGGTGTTATCGGAGATTCGGAATGCCTTGAGGAAATGGTTCGAAAACGTCCTACCTCATCTGGCGATATATTGAATTTATTTTGAGAAAGAGTGGTTTCGAAACGTCAGATGAGATAGAACCGTTTTGAATCAAATTCTGAGATAGGGCGTTTTCGAGCCAGCAGCCGAGATAGGGCGATCTTCGACATATACGACCATTTTGTCTCGTGGGGGCTCCGAGACCACTTTGTTGACTCTGCAGCTTTTCTTCGAGACTTGTAATGAGTGGCTAAACTCAAAACGAAGTAAGACATTCTTTGATGTTGATAGACGTCGGCCGGCATACAAAGACTAATAATTTTTTGTTTGCTACAGTCGATCCCTTAAGTATAAGAAAATCATCTACTAAATAAGTAAGTTTTTACATTAATTTAGTTATCTGACCGCATCTTGTGGGTTTTAAGGTAGGGATTTCATAGTAGGGGTACATACATAGTGTCCCTTGACCGTAGTTTTGAGAAATCTTCTGCGTTTTCGAACCACTTTAGTTTAGCAACGGGACAAAGCTTATATTTGTTTAACATAAAAATAAAACTTTCATTGACCTTTAGGATGGATGTTTTATGCCTCTTCGTAACATTCATACGGGCCGTATTTGTCTCAAGGTTGCCCAGCGCTGTTCTATATCAACTGCGCATTAGATCGTACCACCTTACAAGGGGGAAAAGAGTTCGCCATACACGCCCGAGTCTAAAGTATTTTTTCAAGACAATTTCGAAAAAAAATTTGTTTTTTATGGCAGCACCGGCTATTTACATTTTTCGTCATAACTTCGGATCGTAAAGTATGGTATATCGATGTTCTTCGAGGAGACCAAAAATTTTTTTCGAAATTGCCTTACTAGAATTCTTTAGACTCTAGGGAATATGGCGAAGTTTTTTTTTTGGTAGGGGCTACTGTCTGTGTAAACAAACGCGATGGTCTTTTTTCCATTGCCTTTAGAAAATTTTACTTATTCTTCGGTAAACTAACTATTTTCAAATCAAGCAACAGTGCTACGTTGGTTAACCATTTCTTCCGTTAGTACCAAATTTTACTTAGGACACGGAAAGTTAAATGCCACTGACCTGCAATATGGCAACTTCGTTTTTGAGTTGTGCCTCCTGTTTAGTCGGAAACCTCAACTTATCAATAACTTTAATGGCCACTTCACGTTTGGTTTTCTTGTGTACACCTCCATAGACAACACCAAATTGTCCAGAACCAAGCACTTCATCGGGGAAGATCTGATAAAGCTGACCCATATCCTGCACGTTTTCTTCTGATTCACAGCATTCTGTAAACAATTCACGGTTACATAAGCATGTACTATCGCAATGGCCATTCTTCCCAATATCTTGTATTGTTATGTATGTACTTACGCGTGTTTGTGACATGCATATAGGCCTGTTTG